CAAGCAAACACACACACAAACAAACAAACACACACAAACACACACAAACAAGCAAACCCACACAAACAAATGCACACCGTGCATAAACACCGCCGCCGCCGCCGCGCACCTGTCGTTCGCGTTCTGATCGGACGGCAAAGTACGCCGGCTCGTGCTTGAAGAGCGGGAGGGCGTCGTCATATGATGCGTGCGGACCAACGGCCCGCATGTCCATGAGCAGCTGCTTAAACTCCTCCCGCGCCTGCTGCGACCGCGCACGCGCTGCATAGAGGGGAGGGGGAGGAGGGGGATTGGAGCACGCGGTGCAGTGGTGCAGGGATGCAGGGTGTGTGTGCGTGTGCATGTGTGGTGGTGATGGTGTTGTTTAAGTTGTTGTTGTTGTTGTTCATGATGTTGTTGTTGTTGATGATGATGATGATGATGATGATGATGATGATGATGATGATGATGATGATGATGATGATGATGATGATGATGATGATGATGATGATGATGATGGTTGTGGTGGCGGTGGTGGTGAGCGTGGTGAGCAGCACGAACAAGTGGAAGACAAGACACGACGTCAAACACCACCACCACACCACACCACACCACACCACACCACACCACACCACACCACACCACACCACACCACACCACACCACACCACAACACAACACAACACAACACAACACAACGCAACACAACACAACACAACACAACACAACACAAGCCCGCACCTGTCTCGCGTTCCTGGACGACCTTTGCCTGCTTCCACTTGTTCCACTGGTGCTTCTTCTCGCTGATCCGCTTGAGCGCCATGTACCGCCCGTCCCCACTAATCACCCGGCTCACCTGTGCACACACACACACACACACACACACACACACACACACACACACACACACACACACACACACACACACACACACACACACACACACACAACGGTGCGGCAGACATGATGGTGGCGGCGGCGTCACGATGATGTTGTGGTGTGGTGAAAATGGTGAGAACGCGTTATAAGTTTGAAAAGCGTGTGTGTGTGTGCGTGTGTGTGAATTTGAGTTTTTTTGCTACACACGCCGCACATACTCACTGCGCTGTTGCTCTAACCCTCTCTTCTTGTCTCCAATCCAGCACCAGCACCACCGGCACCACCAGCACCACCACCACGCGTCGCCTGCCTTGTCCCAGTTCCAGTTGGTGCTGACGTCCTTGTCCTCCAACAGCTCAACAAACGCCGCCACCGCCTCCTCCTTCGTCGCATACTCCCGCGGCTCGCTGGCGTCGTGGCAACGGTGGTGATGATGATGGTGGTCGTGGTGGTCGTGTCATAGTGGTGGTGGTGTCATAGTGGTGGTGGTGTCATAGTGGTGGTGGTGGTGGTGGTGTGAGCACGGGCGTTTTGCATGACTTGTGTGTGTGCGTGTGTGTGTGTGTGTGTGTGTGTGGCTAATTGTGATCACGTTGAAATGCGCACAAGCAATCAAACAAGCTCTCACACACGCACACCACCACCACACGATCCACACCACTCTGCTCACCTCGATTTGCTGCCTTTCTCCTCCTTCTTCTGCTTCTCACCACCACCACCACCACCACCAGCAGCAGCAGCAGTAACAGCAGCAGCAGCAGTTTTCGTGGTTGTTGTTGTAGTCGATGCTGATGACGGCGCCGGCGCCTTTCCTGACTCGGCCGCCTCAAGCTCCTGACACGCGTCATATTGTTAATGTACACGGGGGTATTGATGGTGTGTGTGTGTGTGTGTGTGTGTGTGTGTGTGTGTGTGTGTGTGTGTGTGTGTGTGTGTGTGTGTGCATGGTAAGGTGGATGTGTGAGTGTGTGTGTGTGTGTGTGTTATCAAGCGCAAAAGCAAGCTCCATTTCATCATACAACACACATGCATACGTCCGCTGAACACATTGCAATGACGCACCTTTGGCTTCTGCCACACAGTTTCCTTTGTCTCTGTGTTGTAGTAGTATGGCCGACCCTCCGGTGTCTTGTACTCGCGCCAGGGCGTGGCTGCCGTCCGCAGTCGGTGTGTGTGTGTGTGTGTGTGTGTGTGTGTGTGTGTGTGTGTGTGTGTGTGTGTGTGTGTGTGTGTGTGTGTGTGTGTGTGTGTGTGATGGTGAGGGGATGAAATGCTCACGCGCAAACGTAAGTTGATGAAACGCCGCTCTCATACTCTTTAAGCGCTTCTTTCCACGCCACGCTCTCATCCACCACTCCCTAATCCTCCTCACCCCGGCAGAACCCTCCCTCTCATCCACCTTACCATGCACACACACACACACACACACACACACACGCACGCACACACGCGCGCGCACACACACACACACACACACACACACACACACACGATGACAAACCTGGCTTTGCCGCTTCTGGCCGCTCCCAGCGTGTCTCGTTTGTCACCACATGATACCAGTACTCACGACCATCCTAAAACAAGTTGCCGGGGGGGGGAAGACGATCGCATACATGAGACGTGATCATGGTGGCATTGCCAGCTGCAAGCGCGGCAGATCTGATGGAGTCGACACAGCCAAACGCAGAGAAGAAGTGACAGAGCCAGATAGACAGACAGACATACATACATACAGACAGACAGACAGATACACACACACATACATACATACATACATACATACATACATACATACATACATACATACATACATACATACATACATACATACATACATACATACATACAAACAAACATACATACATACACACAGACACACACACACACACACAAGCAAACCAACCGGTGCTGTGGCTTTGCGCCAAGGGTCGGCCTGTGCGTGTGGCGGCGGTGCATGGCCAGCGGGTGGCACTGGCGGTGGACCATACGGCCCAGGCGGTGGCGGCATTGGGTACCCCGGCGGCCCCTGTGGTGGTGGGAACGGCCCCGGAGGCGGGCCACCATACACTAGCATGCGTGAAGCAACACGACGACGACGACGACGACAACAACAACAACAACAATAACGGTGAGCAACCGCTTCCTCCTCCTCCTCCTCCTCCTCCTCCTCCTCCTCCTCCTCCTCCTCCTCGATCCGTTGAGTGCCATGCCAGCGCAAACAGAGATACATAGACAGACACGCGCAGGGATGCACGCACATGGACGTACAGACAGACAGACACGAACGCACACACACACACACACGCACACACACGCACACACACGCATACACGCACAATCACGCATACACGCACTCACGCGTACACGAACACACACGCACACACGTACTCATGGGTGGTGGTGCACCACGAGGTGGAAACCCGAAAGGTGGTGGATGGCTCTGTCATTGACGAAGCAAAGTGCAAGTTCAAGTGTACGTCACATCATGTCATTCAGCGAACATCCAAGCACAGGCAAGCCCTTCAGAGAAGCCCATGTCACTTCACACCACGCTCGCATGTCACAACAGTGCACACTGGCTGGCTGGCGAACGCGCTCACCATTGTCGCTTGTGTTCACTTGTGTTGTTCACTTGTCTTTGCCACAAATGCACACATTGATCAATGTCCAGCACCACTTCGACTGAAGTCAGTCGTCATCGGGATGATGCACGTTGTGCGCGCTGATGATCATCGTGGAGCACGCGCTGGGTCTGGGTGGGTGGCCAAGACTGCCGCTGTGCTAGCTGCAGTTGCAGCAACGTCGCGAAGTACACGGAACAGACGTGCCGGGTTGCTGGAAACGAGGAGAACGAGGGAGAAGACGAGGTTGAGGGCGCCACTGTTGTTGCTGGCACCGCTCTCCCTCTTGCTTGGCGTCCACGTCTTCCTCGTCTTCTTTGTTGGTGCGGAGGTGGTGCTGGAAGAAGATGAGCACGGTGCGTTCCACATCAACACCACCCATCCACAGGAGCAGCACAAGCAGCAGCAGCCGGCGGCTGTGTTTGTGAATGGGGTGAACGTGGCGGAGATGTTTGAGCTGATACAAGAGCAGCAGAGCATGTTGCGAGACCTGGATCGCGTGAACACGAACCAAGCACGGCAGCTGAGCTCCTTGGACCGCCAGCTGTGCGACATCACACCACCGACCGTGGACACCACAACCATCACGGGGCTCGGCACCACGTCAACATTCAAGTGGTCGGATGGTGTCTTGGCCACAAACGGCCTCATTTACTTCACGCCGTTGAACGCCGACGCTGTGCTCATCCTTGACCCAAGCACCAACAGTGCTGACACTACGACAATGTCTGGCTTCTCGAGCGATGGAGAGAAATGGGGTGCCGGCGTGCTTGGCGACAACGGCCTCATTTATGGCATCCCATACACTGAGACGTCGATCCTCATCATCAACCCGACGACCAATACAACCGACACAACAAGTATTGCACAACTATCCAGTGGTGGCGGCAAGTGGCTGAGTGGCGTTGCGGCTGACAACGGCCTCATCTATGGCATACCGTGGAATTCGTTCTTCGTCCTGATCATCGACCCTGTCGCAGGGTCAGCGGACACGTCGACCATTGGTAGTGGCTTTGGAACAGCCAAGTGGTTTGGTGGCGTGCAAGCGCCCAACGGCCTGATCTACGCGGCCCCCACCTCTGCATCCAGCGTGCTCATCATCGACCCTGTGACCAACACGGCAGACACGACGAGCATCTCCCCGATTGTCGGCGAATACAAGTGGCGCGGCACTGTGCTTGCTGGCAATGGGCTCATCTATGGCATACCACATGTGGCCTCCTCTGTCCTCATCATTGACCCAGCTGACCACACAGCTGACACCAGCACGCTGAGTGGCTTGTCCACGGATGATCGGAAGTGGAGCGGCGGTGTGCTTGCAAGCAACGGCCTCATCGTCGGCATTCCGTTGAATGCTGGCTCCGTTCTCATCATTGATCCCACGACCAACACCGTGGATACAAGCACGCTAGCTGTTTCCACAGACGTGGTCAAGTGGGGTGCTGGCGTGCTCGCAAGCAACGGGCTCATCTATGGCGTGCCGGTCGCTGCTGACGCAGTCCTCGTCATTGACCCAATTGGTTGTTGATGATCTGGTGCGTGGCGCATGCATGTGTGTGTGTGTGTGAGTGAGTGTGTGTGTGTGTGTGTGTGTGTGTGCGTGCGTGCGTGTGTGTGTGTGTGTGTACATTTGTGTATGTGTGTCTCTGTCTGTCTCTTTGCCTGACTGTGTTGAGCTCGTTCTGGTCCACCTTCTCTGTCAACACCACCGGCTTTGCATGACCTTCCTTGTGTCCGTGTCATTCGCTCACCAACCACTATCACCACCACCACTACCCACCCATGTGCAGGCACGCGTGAACCGGTATGCGAGCATGCGCAGCAAGCGGAGTGTGCGAGCGCGCCAGCCAAGTCGCGGCAAGTTCATGCGCCAGAGCGTGCGGTCTCGCAGCAACACGGTGTCGACGTCGTCACAGCAGGGCAACCGGCCCCTCTCCTTCTACGACAACATGCCCGTCAGCGCGTTTGTCGCTGGCGGTGCGACCACCACAGCACACGCGGGGACCATGATGACAAGCCCGCAGGGTGAGCCACGTGCACGTGTGCAGTCCACAAGCAGCGGCACAGGCGGCGCACGCAAGTTTGCAATTGTGTGATTGGACAACTGCAGAAGAAGGTGGTGTGTGGTGTGAGGTGTGAGGGAGGCAGGCAGATGGATCAAAGGGTTGGAGAAGGGTGGGGTTGATGTGGTCGTTGTCGTGGTCGTAGTGGTGGTGGTCGTCGTCGTTGTCATGGTGGTGGTGGTGGTGGTGGTCGTAGTGGTCGTAGTGGTGGTGGTGGTCGTCGTTGTCATGGTAGTGGTGGTCGTCGTCGTTGTCGTGGTGGTGGTGGTGGTGCTGGTGGCAGGCAGAAAGGAAGGGTGGAGGCGGGGATGGCACGTGCACGTTGCTTTCTGTGAGTGAAATAAGAGAACATGTGCGCAACGAGTGTCACAGTTGTTGATTGCGTAGCGGTAGCTCAAGAGTGGTTGTTCGGTCGTGGTTTGGTCCTTGTGTGTTGCTTTCGTTGATGTCACAGAACGTCTGCAACCTCTCTCCTCCCATAGCAGTTGCAGTGAAAATGGGTATGCGGTTGAACTCGTGTGTGTGCATGTGTTTGTTGTTGATGGTTACTACTGGGTTGATGCAACCGATGTGCATGAACCAGTGAACGAAGAGCACATGAACGAACGAACAAACAAGCGACCGAAACAAGTCTGCAAGAAAGTAGACACCAAACGAATTCAAGCAAGCAAGGGCAAGACAGCTCCCTCATCAAGCAAAGCCGGAACTGGACGTGTTGTGGACACGAATGTGATCATGATGGTGGTGATGGCGAAACGAGGTGACATGGAGACACAAACACAAGGCGAGATGTGGAGGCAGGGCAAGCAACAGGAAACGCAGAAAACATCAGAAGGGAGCAGGGGTTCGGAAGAGGGTCAGGCAAGCTTGCTGAGCAAGCGGTCTGCCTGTTGCTGCACACCACGGTTGCTTGGGTGGTTCTCCTTGGCCTGTCTGGCGAGGAGAGACACGTTTTCGGAACGAAGGTGATCGCTCAAGCCAGGGTGAGATGCGATGACTACAAGTGCATTACACCCACTCTCTTGCACATCGCCTTTGTTGGTGTAGTTCTTCATCGCCGCAATCACAGCATCAATCCCACCATTCAATCCAACCGCAGCCTTGTTGTCATCATTGTTGTATGCCAGGTTCCCCAGCGCAGCACACCCTTGCTCTTGCACACCGACGTTGCTGGTGTGGCTGTTCATCGCCGCAATCACAGCATCAATCCCACCATTCAATCCAATCGCAGCCTTGTTGTCGTCGTTCATTGCCAGGTTTCGCAGCGCAGCACACCCATTCTCTTGCACACCACCGTTGCTGCTGTGCGTCTTCATCGCCGCGATCACAGCATCAATCCCACCCTTCAATCCAATCACCACCCTGTTGTCGTCGTTCATTGCCAGGCTCCACAACGCACCACACCCTTGCTCTTGCACACCACCGTTGCTGTTGTGCAACTTCATCGCCGCAATCACAGCATCAATCCCACCCTTTGACGCGATCGCAACGTCGTTGTCATCGTTCACTGCCAGGTTCTGCAGCGCACCACACCCATTCTTTTGCACAGAGCCGTTGCTGTTGTGCATCTTCATCGCCGCAACCACAACATCAATCCCGCCCTTTGACGCAATCGCTACCGCGTTGTCGTCGTTCACTGCCAGGTTCTGCAGCGCACCACACCCATTCTTTTGCACAGAGCCGTTGCTGCTGTGCATCTTCATCGCCTTGATGATTGCGTCGATGGCGCCGGATGCAACCGCCTCCACACGCTTTGGCTCACCGTCCATTGCCTGGCCTTCCAGTACCTTGCAGGCAAAACGTTGCACGTCAGCAGAGGCGGGAAACGCCTGCATCAACTGCACAATCTCAGCCGCGTGCATGCTACGGCCGTTGGTCTGCAGCTTGCGCACGGCGTCCTCAGCACTACCGCCACTGACTGCACGCACCCCATGAACTTGGGAAGAGGACGCTGAGCTAGTTGATTGTGGTTGCTGCAGCTTCACTGGTGAACCGACGCCGGTCACGTCCTTGAGCTTGGCGATGATGGCGTCCACAAGCTCGTCTGGCGGAGCGGAGCGCTCGGCACCCTGCGGCTGCCATGGGTGGTAGGCGATGGTGGGCGGAAGCCAGAAGCGCGTCTTGGCGTGCTTGAAGCGGTCGCACATCTTCACCAGGAAGAACGGCTTCTCGTCGTTGATGATGAACTCGAGCTCCTCGCGCGAGCTGAACTTGCTGTCCGTCTTCTCGCCGTACGTGTGCGTGCCCATGATCACCACCAGCTCGCACTCGTCGATGGCCTCGATCACGGCGTCGGCGATGCTGTCGCCAGAGGAAACGGCGCACAGGAACGTGGGCACGCCCCGCTTGTCCAACGCCTTCTTCAGGGCTTCGCTCTCCTCCATGGCCTCGCTGAAGCGCAGCGAGATGAACACCCGGTGTGGTGGCATGGTTTGCTTCTTGGTGCTTGTTCGTTTGGTGGTTGTGGGTCGCTGCTGGGCTTGGGTTGCGCTGTCTCACTGTCTTGCTGTCTTGAAAAACAAAAAAATGGCCCTACAAACACTTGTAACAAGTGTAACAAGGGGCGCGTGTGATGGCTGTGTAAATGCACGGAATGACGCATTTCCATGTCGACTGAAGTCAGTTGTTTGCGTGCGCGTGTTTTGGACCTGTTTATGGGTCGTAGCGTCGCGAAGCACTGAAGCAAATCAACCCAAGACGGTCGATCGGAGCGGCTGATCAATACGATGAGGCTGAGGGCGCCACTGTTGTTGCTGGCACAGCTTTGCCTCTTGCTTGGCGTCCACATCTTCCTCGTCTTCTTTGTTGGTGCGGAGGTGGTGCTGGAAGAAGATGAGCACGGTGCGTTCCACATCAACACCACCCATCCACAGGAGCAGCACAAGCAGCAGCAGCCGGCGGCTGTGTTTGTGAATGGGGTGAACGTGGCGGAGACGTTTGAGCTGATACAAGAGCAGCAGAGCATGTTGCGAGACCTGGATCGCGTGAACACGAACCAAGCACGGCAGCTGAGCTCCTTGGACCGCCAGCTGTGCGACATCACACCACCGACCGTGGACACCACAACCATCACGGGGCTCGGCACCACGTCAACATTCAAGTGGTCGGATGGTGTCTTGGCCACAAACGGCCTCATCTATTTCATTCCGTTCAGTGCTTCCTCCATCGTCATCCTTGACCCAAGCACCAACGGAGTGGATGACACGACAATGGGCGGCTTTCCAACTGACACCTCAAAGTGGGGTGCCGGCGTGCTTGGCGACAACGGCCTCATCTACGGTGTACCGTTCACAGCAACATCCGTACTTGTCATCGACCCCACAACGAACACCGCCGACACAACCACCATCTCTGGCCTGTCCTCGAGTGGTGGCAAATATTTCAGCTGTGTACTGGCCGACAATGGCCTCATCTATGGCGTCCCCTGGTCTGCACCAGCCGTGCTCATCATCGACCCGGCGGCCAACACAACGGACACAACCTCGATTCAGGGGCTAACCGCCAACCGTGAGAAGTGGCAAGGTGGCGTGCAAGCGCCCAACGGCCTGATCTACGCGGCCCCCACCTCTGCATCCAGCGTGCTCATCATCGACCCTGTGACCAACACGGCAGACACGACGAGCATCCCGAGCCCGCTTTCTGGCTCCCGAAAGTGGGGTGGTGCTGTGCTGGCAAACAACGGCCTGATCTACTGCATCCCGTTTGTCATCCATGCTGCGCTTGTCATTGATCCGAGCACCAACACCGCTGAAGCGACGACATTTTCCAACTTGGCTGGAGGCATCTCTTGGCACGGCGGTGTGCTTACAAGCAACGGCCTCGTCGTGGGCATTCCTGCATCAGTGACAGCCGTGCTCCTCATTGATCCTGCCACCGGGACGGCAGACACGTCGACGCTGGCTGTACCGGAGGGTTCAATGAAGTGGTTCGCGGGTGTGCTGGCTCCAAATGGTCTCATCTATGGCGTACCGCACAATGCCGACGCTGTCCTTATCATTGACCCCGGCTGCTGACACTGCATGCGTGTGCGTGTGTGTGTGTGTTTGTGTGTGTTTGTGTGTGTTTGTGTGTGTGTGTGTGTGTGTGTGTGTGTGTGTGTGTGTGTGTGTGTGTGTGTGTGTGTGTGTGTGTGTGTGTGTGTGTGTGTGTGTGTGTGTGTGTGTGTGTGTGTGGTGCGGAGGGGAATGGGGAAGGTGAGTATTGTGCTGTGTGTTGCATTGGAGTGTGTCTGTGTCCTCATCTTTGGCCGCCGCTGGTTGTTGTGTTTTTGTGCCTGTGTGAGCAGCATGAGTCCAGAAGAGCAGGCAAACCTCATCGAAGCCGGTGCGTTCAACTAGTGTGTGTGTTTGGACGTGCGTGTGTGCACGTGTGTGTGTGTTTGGACGTGTGCGTTTGGACGTGCGTGTGTTTGGACGTGCGTACGCGTGGCGCCCACAGGTCGCTGCTTGCTTGTGTTGTGTGCTTGTGTTGCGTACTTCATTGACCTCACCCACTGTATTTGCTCATTGTACTGCATCTTCATTGGCAGAGGGCAAGATCCTCGTGGACGTCAAGGCGTAAGCACGACACACACACACACACACACACATGTGCATGCGTGTTTGTTGTATGTACGTGGATCGACGTGCATGCAAGAATGCACGCACGTGTGTTCACGCTCGTTCCTCCCTGTTCAGGCCCTTGAAGGACCGCTTCCGCGCCCTGTTTGCCCTCCGCAACCTCGGCGGTCAGCGCTCCATCGAGCTCATCAACCAATGTAAGAAGTGGACAGTTGTACGTGTGTGTGCAGCGTGCGTGTGCGTGTGCGTGTGCGTGTTTGTGTTTGTGTTGTGCGTGTGTGTGCATGTATGTGTGCATGCGTGTGTCTGCGTGTGTGGCTATGTGTGTTTGTGCATGCGAGTGATTGTGAGTGACTGTGAAGCCGTGTGCATGTGAACCCGTGTGCATGTGTGCATGTGTGTGGTGAGTTGATGTTGCCCACATCCCGAGGCTCCCACCACACAATACCAACGTCAAACATCCAATCACCCACCCCTTCCCGCCTCCTTCACACGCTCAAGGCTTTGAGGACGAGTCTGCGCTGCTGAAGCACGAGTGCGCATATTGCCTCGGGCAGATGCAGGACGACGTGGCACTGCCATATCTGTCCAAAGTGCTGGAGGACGAGCAGCAGGATGTGATGGTGCGACACGAAGCGGCCGAGGCACTTGGAGCGATTGGCAACCCAGCGTCACTCGACCTCCTCCTCGAATACACCGATGCGCCCCAGCCCGAGATCTCAGAGACGTGCCAGGTGCGACAATGGTGGTGGCAATAGGGATGCGTGGTGGGTGGTGGCAGTGGTAGTCGCGATGATTTTTGAAGGTTTGTGTGTGTGTGTGTGTGTGTGTGTGTGTGTGTGTGTGTGTGTGTGTGTGTGTGTGTGTGTGTGTGTGTGTGTGTGTGTGTGCGTTTCTCTTACGTCCTCGCCCTCTCCATGACCCTCCCACCAACACGTTACAACCGCCACCACCACCACCACCACCACCACCACCGCCAGATTGCGGCCGATCGCATTCGGTTCCAGCAGCAGAAGAACGAGGCGCCCACAGCGTAAGCCAACAGTGGGGTGGGTGATGGTTGGTTGGTGATGGTTGGTGGTGGGGTGGGAACACTGAACACTGAAGTTACAGCTTGCATTACATGTTGGGCATGCGAAACGGCCGGAAATCGGTGACCACCCTCCTTCCCACCACCACAACCACACCATTGTCACTCACATCACCCCTCACCACCACTCACTCACTCGCACTATCACTCATATCACCCCTCAACACCACCATCCAATCCAATCCAATCCAATCCAATGCACCCATTTCTTCCAATCCATCGGTGCATGCGTGCAGAGACGCCAAGTTTCTGTCTGTTGATCCTGCACCCGCAGCGCCGGAAGACACACCCATCCCAGACCTCAGGGCCACGCTCCTCGACACATCCAAGCCGCTCTTTGAGCGATACAGGTGTCGTGTGTTGTGTTGGTGTTGCTGTAATATTGCGGTGGTGTGTGGTGTTGCTGGGGTGTTCTGTGGAGTGTGCTGTGTTGTGTTGGTAAGAGGTTGGAGGATTTTGTCATGCCAGTACCAATTGGTTTCCCTCCAGCCATGCACCTACCCATCCCCTCCTAACCCATCTCAACCTCCCGCTTCCACCTTCCCCCACCAGGGCGCTGTTTGCGCTGCGCAATATTGGCAGTGAGGATGCTGTTAAGGCGATTGTCGACGGATTTCAAGACAAGAGCGCCCTCTTCAGACATGAACTCGGTCAGGATGTGGGAGGGGAATGTGGTTGCGAGAGGCGAGAGTTAAGTGAGTGAGTGAGTAAGTGAGTGAGTGAGTAAGTGAGTGGGTGAGTGAGTGGGTGAGTGAGTGAGTGGGTGAGTGAGTGTGAGTGTGCGAGTGTGTGTGTGTGTGTGTGTGTGTGTGTGTGAGTGTGTGCGTGTGTGAATTAATTCGTGGGTGCACTTACTCACCGATGCCTTGTCCTTGTCCAACGCTGTGAACTCGAATTTCGCCCTGGTCAGGGTATGTGTTGGGCCAGTTGCAGCACCCGGCCGCCATCGAGGGCCTCAAGGCGGTGAGGCGACGCACGCACACACACACACACACACACACACACACACACACACACACACACACACACACACACACGCACACACACACACGCACACACACACACACATGCACACACACACACACACACACACACGTGCATTAACACACACACACACACATTCACACATACATTCGCACACATGCACACATTCACACATACATTTACATGTACACACACCACCAGCGGCTTGAGGACGGTGCCGAAAACTACATGGTGCGACACGAGTGCGCAGAGGCGCTCGGATCCATCGCACACGACAAGGTGGTGATGTCAGACGATGATGACATGCTGTTGTTGTTGTTGATGGG